TCCTGTTATTTTTCAAAGGAAGGATCACACCACTGTATTAAGATGTGTAGAAATGAAACGCTGGATTTTCAGAAGCCAACCCCTTCAATCTAAGTAGGCAGGACCATGTTCCTTATCTCAAAATTCCCAACTTCTGCAGAGACTAGAGAAGCCATTGCAGAATCATGAAGATGCCCACTTTACATAGTTGGCTTCCCAGTCTGAATACCAGCTTGCCTTTGGCACAAGCAGCAAGGTAAGAACCCAAGGGCACTTGTCACTTACCCCTTGGTTTGCAGCCTGTGACCCTGAGCAAGTCAAAACAGTGGATTCAGGACCAGTCTAGGAGCTGGAATTTTAAATGAAACCTGAAAAGATGAGTTAAACAGTCTAAAATTCTTAATGTAAAGTAGACCTTAGTACTGGAACTTTCCCCCAGTTTCTTTTCCCATGCCAGTTTGCCAAATTTTGTTCCAAATGCTAAAAGAATAGTTTACTGTACATATTATTGCTGTTGGCGCTAAAGCTTTTCTCTGTTCAGCTGCCTATCCATATCCAAGGTCTGTCTGATGTCAACACTTTATGAATACTGTAAAGTTGCATGTTACGAACATTACATATATATTTCATTGTTTCATTTACTCTTTTTCTGTTTGATACTATAATGATGGTGCTGACATTAAATGTTTAGCTGAGGGGCTGGACATACACCACTCTTCCAAGCTGCTCTTGCTTCTAATGCTGCTAAATGATTTAGGCTGATTTCGCACTAGAGCTGCCTCGCGATTTCCCCCACGAAACTGTGGGGGAAATCGGGCGAAGCCGCGAGTCAAAATGCAGCCCCGCAGGTTTGGGTGTGAAATTGACCAATAGTGTCGGGGCAAATGGCAGTGCAACCGCGAGGTAGCTCTAGTGTGAAATCAGCCTTAGTGTTAACGATTTCCTAATTTCATCTAGAACACGGAAGCAAAACGTATGATTTTCCTACGGCTTAAAGAAAGTGCAACTTTAATGCAAATGTGTTTTGGATAAGCACTGAGATAGGTAACACAAAACATGGCCCTTGTCTTCTAATGCAGGGAAGTATTTTATTTAGTTCTTCCAGAGTCTTTCTGCGTACCTAGGAGCAAAGACTTTGATTCTACCGAAGCCAGTGGCAACCCTCCCATTATCTCTAGCTGAGCCAAGATCTTGTTCCAGGCGCTACTCCTTCTAAATGGTGCTTTGCTTCTTGGCCTTGGTGGAGACAGGGCCTGGAACCTTAGGCCTTGTTATAATTAAGTTTTCTAAATCTCATTTCCTTTTCAGAGGAGAGAAAACATATTGTTGTGAGTAAGCTCCGGACGCGGTAACAAGTCCCTGGCAGGTTACTTTGTTCTAGCAGACGCGTTACTTTTAAGGAAACTTTTACCATCTTTTTTTTTTTTTTGGTTGCCCTTAATCATGGCTTTCATTACAATTACAGCAACGAGGCAGATGCTCGAGCCAAAGGTAACATGCACATATTTTAATGAGTTGACACAAACTTCCTGAGAAGAGGAATAAATTTATTTGCTGAATATTCCTGAACCATACCTAACGGGTTATTAAAGGGCAGGAGGATACGCTTGTAACAACGTCCCCCCCCGCGCCGCCCATTTTCTTTTGCTGCACAGACTTGCAGAGTGGTAAAGCCGAGTTAAAATAGGCAAGATTGCTGAGCAAGATACTGTCAGTTATTGCTAATCTGAAGCATATGCTATGGGCCATGCCACTTCCTAGATTACTTAGACCTATACAGGAAGGTCTAAGAGCACGTTGCCATATAAAACTCTTTCTCTCTCGGAGCCTTAATGTTTGCGGGCATTTCCTTTGAACTCAGTCAACCGCAATGATTCATTTCCAAGCAAGGCCGTTCATTGAAATCAATGAGTACTTAATTTTATTTAAAGGCAGCTGAGCAAAGTACAGCCAAATAAAACTAGTCATTCCCAACATGGGCTCATTACATACAGAGGTTTCAAAATCTGTCCAGGGCAAGAGAGGACCGAATCCTGAAATGGTGGAACTGCCGGAATCAAATAAGCTCCCAGAGCTGACCTGTGTGACCAGAGCTGAGTTGTGTGACCAGAGCTTTGGCCTAATACTATCACATTCATGCTCCTTGGATTTGGAATCAGCCTTGTCATACCTGGGAGGAAAATCCTGATTTGATTGAAGCCAGTACCAACGCTCCCATTATATACAACAAAGACTAAGGCTGCGATCTCACACACACCAAATAATGCACTTTCAATACACTTTCCAGCCAGTTTACACTAAAATCCAGTTGCAAAAGTGCATTGAAAGTGGATTGAAAGTGCATTATTTAGTGTGTGATCACAGCCTAATACAGAGAATAAAGCAGTGTTGTCTGCCTTTGCTTCCATTAAAACTGTGTTGAAATTGGGCTTGTCAGCATCCAAAGAGCTGCTGGTGATTGCCAGGATGTGAATCCCTATATAGGGATATCCAGTCAACTCACAGTGGCCTGTACCCTCCAAAGAATCTGTACCTGGTCTTCTGCATCTCTACCAGATTTTAATCAAAGTGAGGCCAACAACAACAACAACAACAACAACAACAACAACAATCGGTTTCACTTTTAAGGAAAAGAAGTAATATGCATCTGTGTTAGGGTTGCCAGCTTGAGGTTGGGAAATACCTGGAGATTTTGGAGGGGGAGCCTGAGGAGGGGAAAGTTTGGGGAGGGGAGGGACTTCGATGGGGTATAATGCATAGAGTCCACCTTCCAAAGTGACCGCTTTCTCCAGGAGAAGATCAGTTGTAATCCCAGGAGATCTCCAGCCACCCCATAGGCAACCCTAATCTGTGTGGATTTCATTGCTGATTTGCCACACGAGGGGATCTTTCCAGGTACACACTAGTTCCTCTGGTGCACCAATCCAGGACATCATAGCATCTCAGCACATGTTATGCATACCTGTTATATCCTTAATGCTACTTGATGTAATTTAGCCTGGTGTGTCCCAGTGTGTGGCCTGCCTATGTCAAATTTTAATTGCTAAGGTTTTAAAGAAAATTATTGCTTTTTAAAAAAAATAAACCACATGTTTACATATCCTTTACCATATATAAAAAAATAAACAAAAGATAGAGTATCATTCCTTTTCTACCCACAGGCTATACGGAACCATAAATACTATCCTAGTGGCCTGATGTCACAAGTAATTTTGATAGCATGCTCCATCACACATTTAAATAGCAGCCAGAAGCCAGCAAGAGAAGAGGGCTGGGAAAAGGGGAGGGGAAGAAGAGAGTTAATGAATAAAATACAGGAATACTTTGACGTGCATATTGACCAAAAGAGAGAGATGAAAAAAACCTCATAAAACCTGTCTGAGAATCATTCCAGATCTCCCCTTATTAAACAACCATCCCCTCTTTTATTGTTAATTCTCTAAATCCTCTTGCTAGAAATAAGAAAGCATAGCTGCAGCTTGAGATTTCCTGCTACAAATGTCAATATATTTAGCTACGATGTTCTGGGCAGCCCAGCCTGATCCAACATGGACAAAATCTATAGTCAGCCAAAAATGCTGGCTCTCAGAACAAGACACACCAGTTTTCCTCTTAGAATAGGGATCAACAAAATTATGGAGTTCCCTTCTCAAAGAGATTATTCTGTTCACTTCGGAGCCAGTGTGATGTAGTGGTTAAGAATGGTGGAGTCTAATCTGGAGAACCGGTTTTGATTCCCCACTCCTTCACATGAAGCCTGCTGGGTGACCTTAGGCCAGTCACAGTTCTCTCAGAGATATTCCCTCAAGAGTAGTTCTCTCAGAACTGTCTCAGTCCCACCTACCTCACAAGGTACCTATTGCGGGGAGAGGAAGGGAAGGCAATTGTAAGCTGCTTTGAGACTCTTTAGGGTAGAGAAAAGTAGGGTATAAAAAACCAACTCTTCTTCTATCATTGTCTTCCATGAACAGGTGAAGACTTTCGTCCTTTTGTTTAGTGTCCCCTCACTGATTCTCACTGACCTTTCCTTCTGTTCACGTGTTTATTTGTTAATGTGATTTAATCTTGCTTTAATGTTTTTACAGTTTGCTGCCTTGGGGAACTTACCCTGGGCAGAAAGGCAGCTTAAAAATAAAGCCACCCTTTCATAGAGTAATTTTTGACAGGCAGTCGTGCTGCTGCTTAGGAGGTACCTGTTTTGCAGCAGAGTGCTGAGGTATGTCAAAGTTACAAACTCTGCTTGCTCCACAGCCATGGGGGTGGGGGGGAGAAGACTGCACGTGTAACCTGATGATGCTGTGACTGGGGGTTGACCGGGCGGGGTGGGGCTCTAAAATGGCATCAGAGATTATGTCACCTGTGACTGACCTCCGCGTGAACATGTGAAGCTGTCTTATCTTGAATCAGACCACTGGTCCATCAAGATCAGTCATGTCTACTCAGATACTCAGCCTGGCAGCGGCTCTCCACATCTCTGGTAGGGAGGGGTTTCACATCGCCTCCCACTTGCTCCTCTTAACTGTAGATGCCAGGGACTGAACCCAGGACCTCGATGCTCCACCACTGAGTCACAGCCGAGCCACTGCTGCCCTAATTAAGTAGGCCGCATTTCTAAAAAGGTAAGCTCGCTTGGCATACTGCATTTTGAGGTATCTGAACCCATAATTTCAGAGTTAAGTAAAGTAAACTACACTTTGGACTCTTATGGGATTAAAAACACTCCAATGCTGCCATTACAAGTGTTTTAAAAATCTATTTTCCCTCACCTATTGCACAGAATTCAGTGTTTAGAGATATTTTCATCTCCTTGAAATTTTTTCTTTCTGTACTGATTAACTTTAAAAGGAGAGAAGTATGGCTAAACACTCAAATGCCTTTTCAAACCTTCAAAACCAAAAAACAATCTAACACTGGCAACATCCAGCCAAGCTTGTAGAGAGTCAATTCCCCAATTACCTGTCAAAGCAGTATGTTAGATAAGAATGTTTAGGGGTTTTTTAAAAATGCATAATTCTACTCACCAACACAATCCATGTTAGCCAGATCTAAAGAAGCCATTACTGAAGATTCGTCATGGTGTTTCAGTCCTCGTAGCACAAAGCGCACCAGGATACTTTTGATTTTTTGTGGGAGAAGCATTATCAGGTATATTGGCATGTAGACGATGTAACGAAACTGGCAGAGCAAGGGCGTCATGATCTTGCCTTGTGGCGACTGAGCCATGCGCTCTATTGTAGGGAAGAGCATCACACACCGGATAACCTGAAAAGACATGGATGGGAAAGCTGCCAGTGCATGAGACATAGGGAAGGTTTTATCCAATGAATGCCTTATTATTTAATGAGCCAGGCTGTTTTTACCCCCAGATGTAAAATTCTGCAAAATGTGCTGGAGTTTTATTAAACCACTTTAAGATCAAAGATTTTCCCCACTCCAGAATGACACAAGATAAATAATTCTGTAGAATGTTCCTGTAGTCAGATCCAATTGGACCAGGGCCTTCTGCAGGTGCCAATCTACAAATGGGCATAGTCAATAACTGCCCCCACACACATTCCTTCTCTGTTGTGTTCCCCATCTTGTGGAATGACCTGCCTGAGGACATCAGGAAGGCTCCCACACACCTTGCTTTCTGCAAACTATGGAGCAATGCTTCCTAAACTCCCACCCACTCATACCTCTCTTATACCTACGAGACAATGATGACATTTTTATTGTCTGGACACATGGTAAAGAAGTCCTGGATATATTCCACCAGTCATTCAACGACTTTCACCCCCACCATCAACCTGACAATGAACCAATCTGTCGTGGGTCAGCCAGGGCTCAGCAATAGTGAGGACTCCTCAGGAGAAGAGGAGCCTCGTGTAGCCAGCCTTGAGTCAACAGAAGTTGACCAGCAAGAGAATGAGATGCAGGCTTGTCAGGATTCACAGCCAACAGCTGGTGCAGAGTCACCGACACCCTCCAGTCCTGATTTAGCAGGTGAACCTCAGTTAGCCGTTCCCAGCCTACCAGTGTCTCCCACACTCTTGGAGCACTACAGATAGAAGCTGAGAACAGAGCCACAAGCAAGAAGGCAAAGTGCACGCCCTGATGCCAGCTGCTTGATGATGACGAAGATGAATAGTTGCAGGATTACTTCCAAACAGCTGGCTGCAAGCATGACCCTTAGGCATAGGGCTATAAAAACCAGCCAAGGGAGGCTATTAGGCATGGGCATAACATGTACAATAGACGCTGTGCCTGATTTCTTGGAAGCCTGACTCCTGGAAACCTTGGACCTCAGACTGAATGACCTCGCCTAGCCTGACTTCTGGAACTCTTGACTTTGGATTGAATGACTGTCAGAGGACCCTGGACGATTCAGCGCAGCAGGAAGGAGAAAGACGTCCATCAAGTAGGGCTCAGAGATATAAAAATTAAGGAGACCGGGAGAGCAAGGGAATCGCGGAGAGAACCACGGAAGCTCTACAACAACGCCAGCAATACAGCTGCAAAAGGAGAGCTGGCCCAGACAGGAGAGAAGCGCGAAGGGCAGGTATGGGAGAGTTGTGGCTTTAAGTGGGAGGGAGAAACGGCTGATGAGAATAAAGAAGGAACCTGATTTCATCCAGGGAGGAAGTGATTAGACCGAAACAAAGACTGGATCAGCTGTGCTAGAACACTGACCAGGAGTTTTCGGGATAATAAAAGAGGGAGGCACTCCCAGTTGAGGAGGATTCCCTGGTTCTGAGGATTGAGAAATAGCCCTTCAACTTCTATCGCCGGTCTCCCCGCTGCTTATGACACCGCACAGGCTGAAACCCGCAAAGGAAGCGTGACAATGACCTTGCTTAACTTGACTCCTGGAAACCTTGGACCTTGGACTGAATGACCCCGCCTTGCCTGCTGATTGAAACCTGGTACTCGGAAAATGCTGGCCAGTACACAATCTATGCAAGAAATACATTTTCTGGACACTACTGTAAAAATACACTATGGATGCATAGACACCACCTGTCCAGAGATGGACTTACTGGGTGAGGTCGCAGGCAGCAGATCAGGACGCGAGCCGTGGTGGCGGTGAGAGCTCAGCCGGCAAGTCCCCGGGAGCCACAGGAGCAGACAACTGCCAAGGCTGCTGGTTCCGAGTCGGAACAGCCTGGGAGAGGAAGTGGTGGTGGGCCTGCTGGGGGCCCACGGGGTGGGACATGCTGGAACACCAAGGGAGACGGGCCACATCAACCGGTGCTGCCAAGGACAATGGAAGGGCTCGGAGTCTGGGGCATGGGGCGAGTGCAGCTGCAGATGAGAGAGAGCCACAGGAAGTTAGCAGTGGTGGTCGGGGGAGAAAGGGCCAGGAAGGAGGGTGGTGAGACAGCCGCAGCACCAGGAGAATCAGGCACACCGACTCCACCCAGGGCGGGGGCAGGAGAAGGCGGGGGGGGGGAGGAAACAAGACCTTATAAAGCCAGCTGAACCGGCCCAATGGGGAGTGGGGTGGGAGTGAAGGACACGAAGGGGAACCAGTCACAAGGGTAGGGTGCTCTGTATAAGAGGGGAGCAAATGCTGGGATCGAGGCGGAGGAGAGTCGGAGATCAGACAGGTGCACTGGGGGCGGGCAAGAGAATGACAAGCCTCCCAGTGCACTGACGGCCAGCTGGCCAAGGTCCCAGCAGCTCCTCCTCACAGGGAGTGAAGCCACGGAGGTTGGAGAACACCGGGTGTCTTGGGGGCGGATGAAACCACCTAATACTGGAAACCTACCGATTGACAAACTTACCTACATGCCTCCAGATACCATCCTAAACATACCACATGATACACTGTATACAGCCAGGCTCTACGCTACAGCTGCATCTACTCCAAACCTACAGACAGAGATTCTCACCTGAGGGATCTACAACAAACCTTTGTGGAACTAAAGTATCCACCTGATGAAATTAAAAAAAACAGATTAACAGAGCCAGAATGGTACCCAGAGAAAACCTGTTGCAAGACGGGCCCAAAAAAGATAACAATAATAGAACACCACTAGTGGTCACATACAACTCAAAACAGTTTAATGCATCATCAGCAATTTACAATCTCTACTGGATAATGACAGTTCTCTTTCACAAGTACTTGGGGGGCAAACGTTTGCTTGCACACAGGCAGCCCCCCAATCTCAAACAACTCCTCACCCACAATAATACAACATCTAATTTGAACATGGACACTGGTACCAGAGCTTGCAATAAACCCACATACCAACTTTGCTGCCACACATCCAGACAACACAATCACTGGACCTAATATCAACGACACCATTTAAAGCTTATTCACTTGCTCATCTTCTAACACTATGTATGCCATTAAATGTCAACAGTGCCCTTCAGTTCTCTACATAGGGCAAACAGGTCGAACCCTATACCAAAGGAAACCTGTAGGAGAACACTTCGACCTTCCAGGATGACCTCAAAGTGGCTGTTTTATTGCAAAGGAACTTCAGGAACAGACTATAAAGGGAAATTGCTGAGTTTCAGGTTATTACAACACTCGGAACAATGGAATCCCCAGGACTTAAACAGTGATACTGGTTTCTTATCTCACTACATAACGCTATCCTCATTCATACCTTACATCTGTACTCTCACCAATCCCCCAGAAGGGCCATACATCCTCTTTATTTCATTTCTTATTTGGAACAGTAGATTAGAATACTAGATTGTAATGCAATGTAATGAATAGTAGAATGCAATGGAATTTGGAATAGTAGACTGGAATGAATTTCTCTGGTCTGGGGACAGGGGAGATAAGAACATAACAACATAAGAGATGCCAATGTTGGATCAGGCCAAAGGCCCATCCAGTCCAACACTCTGTATCACACTGTGGCCAGAAATACCAGTGCCATCAGGAGGTCCACCAGTGGGGCCAGGACATTAGAAGCCCTCCCACTGTTGGCCACCCCAAGCACCAAGATGACAGAGCATCACTCCACACAGAGACAACTCCACACAGCCAATCACGCCACTTCAAAGAAGAAGATGCTGTAAGATTGCCTCCATGCTTGAGAGGAGATGGATGGAGAGTAATGGCAGGGTCTCAGTCAATTACTCTCAGCATTCCACAATTAAGGATACATCTGCCCATCAATTCTGACATATTTATTTCCTTCACTATGCCCCCTTCCCCGGAATTAAACCCAAATGGCAACCATATACACTAAACTAGTTATTCCTGTTTGGTCCTTGAATCTGTTAAACATCTTCAATATGTTTTATGCTGATTTACTGCTTACCCGCTACCTATATGCATGGACTGGTAACTTCCATTTTATTGTATCTGAACAAGTGTGTGAGCATACAAAAGCTTGAATAAAACTTTGATGGACCTAAAGGTGCCACTGGACTCAAACTTTGTTCTGCTGCTTCAGACCAACATGGCTGCCCACCTGAATCTATTCAAGAGGGCTCTTCTACTCAGCAATAGGGTAGCACTGCTACAAAAGGCTTCACACAGTTACCTGAATAAATTATTGGGAGTTTGTCTGTATTACTGTGTAGTTTGCTGTTGGTTGGCTTCTGTTGTGTAATTCTGCATCATTTAATGTGTCATGTTAACACTTCTGCTTTGCTTCAGTTCTGTTTTTTTTCAGACTTCTGGTTGGATCTACAATCCAAATCCCTATTTCGTCATCTACTGAATGTCCCATCTCGTTGATTGTACTGAATCATTCTGTGTAATCCACCTTGCGTCCCAGTGAGAAAGGTGGGCTATAAATAATGTAAATAAATAATCTTCAAATCTTAGGATCAAACCTTTCTTAAAATGTATTAATATTTTCCCAGGAAAAGCTTATATGTTAAGAAGTACTGCAATGTCATCTTTCCCTCTGCTTGATACATCCCCCTGCATTCACATTAGTTTCAGTGGAAGGAATGGACCTCATTGGCTGTCTCCCTTGGAATGAATAATGGTGATGGCTAGAAGGGGAGCACCAGTTTGGGTTGCCAGCTCTGGGTTGGGACATACCTGGAGATTTGGGGGTGGGGTTTGGGGAGGGACTTCAGTGGGGGTACAGTGTCCTAGAGTCCACCTTCCAAAGTAGCCATTTTCTCCAGGTGAACTGATCTATGTAGCCTGGAAATTAGTTGTAATCCCATGAGATCTCCAGGCCCCACCTGGAGGTTGGCAGCCCTAGCTCCAGGTCTCAGAACAGAGTGGAGTTGCTGAAGACCTGATCAGCAGTCACTCATGCTGCCACGCATGTATACATGTACGAATGTGTGCCCTG